CCCGGTTTGAATGCCTGCAGTCTGTCTGTGCATGTGACCAACACCTCTTATAAGACTGGGTAAATGCTTGGCAGGGAGGATACCCAAACCTTTGTTGTAAATAGTGATATCTTCAGGGGTGAACCCTTTAAAAAAACAGAAGGATGAAGGAATGTAGTGAAACAGGACTGTCGGATCAACCGATGACTAGCTGGCTCAGTTGGAAAAGCATTGGTCTAGAGTTTGGAGGGTCGGGGTTCAGTCTCCCTGTTCATATATTCTCTCCTTTTACACAATTACAATATTTGTGCAAGTGTATTGAAACGTGTAGGTGGCATAATATTCAAAAACAAGACTGAAAATGCACTCTATGTAAAAATGATCTAGGCGACGAATTTCATTATTTATTCAAATGTAAAAATGTAATAACTGTAGAGCTTAGAGAAAAATATATTCCTTTATATTATAGAAAAAATCGCTCTCAAATTAAAATGACTACTGGTCTGCTGTCATTTTGTAACACGACAGTATTGAATGGAATTTGTCTTTTGTTGGAAAAAATTAACAAACTGTTGTAATAAGCATATAATACAAGCTATTGATAATGTATCATGAGTACTGCTTTGTGTACTTGCCATCCAATTTTGTCATTACGTGTGTATTATTATACTCTGATACCTCATGTTGTACATTGTGATGTATCTGAGGAAAACCAATAAACTTGTAAACTTGTTTCGAAAATTAAACAGTATTCAAGTTTCTTCAGTATTTGCCCAGTAGATCCTACTTAATAGCGATTTGGTACCAATTAAATTTCTGTTATTACCCTAATTTTACGGATGAAGAAGAATTAATATCTCGACTCAAGTCTGATCTTGTCGTAAAAGACCACATAAGGAAACCATTTACTTACTGCTGCTGTTGGTATATATATTTTAAAATTCAGGTGAAAAATTACACGTATTTGAAATAATGAAATCATTTGAATGACTTCACATCACAATTTATTTACCTGATATAGATAGTCATTTGGCAAATTGCTCTCATCTTTGCTAATTACAGTATGCAATAAAATATCAAAATGACGCCACATAAATGGTTATACAAAAAGAACATGATTGTAAGTATAGCATACTTATACTAATAGGAAAGAACAAAATACAGTATTTTCAATGAAGGGGCATGAGCAAGTCTTATCTTAGTGGGAGAGACATGCGGTCTGTCACGTAACCCAGCCTTCCCCTCCTTCTTTGATGTGATAGCCTAAGGGTCCAAATAAGAAAGTAATTCAAACAAACTGTTTAAAATTAAAAGGAATTTAAGTTATACTTGACTCCCAACTGTGACACTTTTGATATGGAGAGGCATTTAGATATTGATCGTGCAGTGCTCTATAGAAGAAGAATAAAAATGAATTCTTTAACATTGCGTCATTCCTGTGCTCATAACAATGATATAATTCAGTAGCGGTATATGAGTGAATCAGAGTAGTGAGCATCGCTGTCCTTTATGCTGGCTGTTGATCAATGAGTGGAGACGGAGGTCCGGAGCTATGTCCTCTGTACGTCCTTTATCTTTTCTCCAGTGTGCTGTGCTATTGATTTTTAGGGATTTGCCATTGTAACATTGGTAGGCAGTCTACGTGCAGTTTCTCTGGCAGTCAATGACGTCCTTTTCGTCAATTTGATGTTTGTCATGCCATGTTTGTGAAGACTAGGACATTATACTGACACGATGCTGATTCTCACCTCACCTGGTCTGTCCTCGTGTACGTATGACATCTCACCAGACTCTCACTGACTGTTTAATGGCTTCACTTGTGTCAGTTTTTCCTCTTCATACCATGTAATGAGGAGGAACCATTATGCTAAAATATTTCACCTCAGGTTGGGTTTTTGGATCTCAAGAATATCAGAAACGTGTAGTGATAGATTTGTTCTCTTTGTTGTCACACAAGACTTGCATTGGTCTTATTTTATGTGGTATTCCCATTAGAATTTGATTATGCAACATGTAATATAGGCTTTTTGAATGGTATTTTTTCTGTTTGGTACTGATGTAATTACAGATTACTGATGTAATTACAGATTGGTACACAGATTTAACGGCACACGCGCCATATGGTGTATGTATACAGGTGTCGTTTTGATCGTAGTTTGATTGGTCATGGGTGTTGTTATAGATAATCAATAATATCACTGCTGGTGGTAAAGGATTTCTTATGTAATGTGTAGATTCAAATAAATCAGTACTTGGAACTCGTCAATTCCTTTGTTGTACCTCAGTCATTCCGTTTCATAGCTATTAATATATATTCTCATGATAGATTTACTGATTTAACTGCAAAGAAAGGCTATTGATTGATTCCGTGTGTTTTTGTTAACTCGTACACATTAGATTTTCCCATTGCCTTAATTATATTGTATACATTGTATTACAATATAGAAATTCTTTTGTTTCGCTTCTTCATTTTCAACAAGATACTTACACATTAGTATTCTGCTCTTGTTTGGTAAATTCTTACTTACTTTATTTCAACTTCCATATAGATCACATTATGAGATTTGAGATTACCCGATTATATCTTGCCATAATTTATAGATATACATTGTATTTCAGTACAACTTCACAAGCTATGTTTCTTTTATTATGGCTTGTTTTGTATATAAATGAATACTGGTTTTTGAACACCTACATTAGGTTTTTTTTAAATGTTCCTATAGCTGCCTGATATGCCAACATATCTATGTGTCAATTTTTGTCTCATTTTGGCCAATGGTTCTCCTGTTGTTTTTGTACTGGATGTAAGGTATAAAATTACCTCGTTCATGCAGGGCTTTAGTTTACCAGAAGGCACAACAGGGTGAGGGTGTATTGGGGTAAGTTGTAAATATGTCTTGTCACTCGCTAAATCATCACCAACTATGCATGTGTTCACTGGTGGTTCCATCCGAGGATATTTCTGGAGAAAAAATATGTGTGCAAATGTCAAAAGCAGAGGTAAAGGAAAAGCTGGATGTGGTATATGCCTGTGAGCAATTTCTCTTGGCCTTACGAGACATTGTGAAATTTTTTCAGATTTCAAATTCTCTAAGACTGGTATATGGCAAGGTCATTTCAAAGACGCGCACCAGAATGTGTACATGAGCACATCAGTAATAGATTCACTAACCAGTATATATAGACTTCAAACAGCCTGTGAAATACCAGAAGAATTACCCATTGAAAAGTTGTTTTTCGATAGCTGTTTTAACAATAAAGGTCACAGTGGGGACATTCAGATAAGGATCAGGCAAATTTATTCTCCAGTGGAAAAGCTAGTTTTTGGCAGTTTGTGACAAGTTTCATTTTCAATTTAAATAGGAACCAAATCTACCTACCTCATGTGTTACCATGCGTTTTCATTCTGTGTTATTGTCTGCCAAATCTACCTACTTCATGTGTTACCATGGATTCTGTGTTCATTGTCTCCCAAATCTACCTACCTCATGTGTTACTATGGATTCTGTGTTATTGTCTAACAAATCTACCTACCTCATGTGTTACTATGGATTCTGTGTTATTGTCTACCAAACCTACCTACTTCATGTGGTACCATGGATTCTGTGTTGATTGTCTACCAAATCTCCCTACCTCATGTGTTACTATGGATTCTGGGTTATTGTCTACCAAATCTACCTACCTAATGTGTTACCATGGATTCTGTGTTGATTGTCTACCGAATCTACCTACCTCATGTGTTACCATGGCTTCTGTGTTGATTGTCTACCAAATCTACCTAACTCATGTGTTTACTATGGATTCTGTGTTGATTGTCTACCGAATCTACCTACCTCATGTGTTACCATTGGTTCTGTGTTGATTGTCTACCAAATCTTCCTACCTCATGTGTTACCATGCGTTTTCATTCTGTGTTGATTGCCTACCAAATCTACCTACCTCATGTGATACCATGGATTCTGTGTTGATTGTCTACCAAATCTACCTACCTCATGTGTTACTATGGATTCTGTGTTATTGTCTACCAAATCTACCTACCTCATGTGTTACCATGGATTCTGTGGTCAACACCAATATTCCTATCGAACCAAACCTATTATATACCTACTAGATAATTGTAGAAGATAACAAAAACACTGTTTGAGTAAGACTTTCATTGATTGTTATTTATTTTTCTTAGCAGAACTGATAAACATTTACAAAGAAACCACGCTGTGGGTCCATTAGGAGATACTATCAGACAAGATAACCCGTTTGTAGTAATATATGTGTAAATATTTTAGCTGCTTCCTCTGGATTATGGTTTTCGTAATTTGCATTAAGAACCTAGTAAAGGCTGTAGCTCCAGATACCAGTATTATAGAACCTGACTGGTGGTAGGTAATGTAAAAAACATGGGTGTGCAATGTACATGATAATGGTGACTGGTATATGGCAAGGTCATTTCAAAGACGCGCACCAGAATGTGTACATGAGCACATCAGCAGTAGGTTCACTAACCGGTATAGACTTCAAACAGCCTGTGAAATACCAGAAGAATTACCCATTGAAAAGTTGTTTTAGGATTACTTAGAAGCTTAAGGTTGCCTAGTTAATAGGATTTCAATAGCTGTTTTAACAATAAAGGTCACAGTGGGGACATTTTTTTTCAGGTAAGGATCAGGCACATTTATTCTCCAGTGGAAAAGTTATTTTTTGGCAGTTTGTGACAAGTTTTTATGGTTCAGTGGTATATTGCATTGCTTCCTCCGTAGATGTGATTACTATTGCACCTTAGGCATATATTATTGTTGATTGATGGTAAGGTAATACGTTTGTAACTACGAGTTCACAACATTTGATAAATAATCAGAAGAAAACTCACAACAAAACTATTGTATGTGTGTCACCAATATGACCATGTTAAGAAATACGAAGAAGGGGAGAAACAACAATTGTACTTTAAAATGTACATCTATAGAGGTGTGGGTCTATACAGCCAATATCACTGCTCACCAGGAACTATTTTCTATATGTTGCAGTGAATGGTAACAGTTTTCCATGTTTAGATGGTGAAGAGTCTCCAACAGGAACCATGATCAACGGACACATCAATGGAGATCTTGACAAACTGAAATATCGCAGTAATGGAAACAACAATTCAGGGGAGATCACTCCTGTTAAACAGCATGTGAACCTGAAGAAACGAGTTGGTCTCACATCTGGCATTGCCTTGATAGTTGGGACCATGATAGGTATGTAATTAGATGCATTAGTCAAAATGGGGTCACAGCTGGGTTCCTTGGTTAAATGTTTGACACTCTGCAAAATAAGCCAAAGAGAAATTCTTTTTGGCCAATATGAAGTCTGTAGGAAAAAGTTAAAATGTTTCCAGGGTTATATTACTTATATATTTTACACCTTAAAGGAATGATTAAATATGTATATTCATCAAAGATTTGATACCACCTGTAATACTGGTAGATGTTTGATAGCTGGAGACTAGTCAGAGGACTGTCTGGGAAAACCTGTCAAGGGAGACCACTCTGTCTGTTAAGGAGACGCTCTGCTTTAGACCCCCAAAGAAAGTTCTATTGTTTTAAAAAGGCTGGAATTTTTTGGTGAATACTATATCTACAAATTCAGTGTGTGTGACTTTGTAGGGTCTGGGATTTTCATCTCACCCAAAGGAGTGCTGATGGGGACAGGTTCAGTGGGGCTGAGCATCATTGTGTGGGTTGGATGTGGTGTGCTGTCCCTAATGGGTATGTATCAGTCTGTTAACCTCTAGCATAAAAATATGTCACTCTTAAATTATTGATCTATACACTAGCTTCGGTTAAAAACATTGTTAACTTGAGACATGATTTCGGTAAAAGTGCTCATACTGTTGTTTTTCGTTGAGAGGTGAGTATTTGTTGTGTTGATATATGTATATGATGTAATATTTGACAGGTGAGTATGATTACATGATCCATAGTACTACGTAATTGTTCATCACTTTATGGCTTCACTCACAACACTCATAACACATGGTTATCTCTGTGGTTCAGGGGATCTAGGCTATACTGCCGACTGGAACATTTAGCTTATAATTGTTATCGAACTGTTTGCGGCATACCTCGACCACATGTCTTCAGAATGCCTGTGCATTATAGCCAACTTTGTGTGTACTGGTTGCCTGTCGGGTAGCCTACTTTGTGTGTACAGTTGCCTGTCTGAGTAGTCTACTTTGTGAGTGCTATAATATATTATACAATTTTGTACATGATAGTTTTTGAGAGAAAGAAATATCGGAAAATGTATAATCTTAATTGATTCAAGGTCAAATGCATATATTTGAAATTCTTGAATCTAAAAACGTTTGAATTCATTGATAGATGTTCTGTTGTATATATAGAGTTGTTTGTAATAAGATAGCGATACACATTGTTTGCTTCCTTTGTCTAACACACTGTATTTCTGGTAGATCGTGTTAGAAAGTAGGCGTTTTCTAATTTGCCAATAAAAGTACTGGAGCCAGGCATAACAAGTACAAACAAGACAAATAAATGATATAATTGCCTTCTAGCCTTTTTGTCTTATTTTTAAGTTGCATTGCCTCCCTTGATTTAACATCTAAGGAAGCTGTTAATTGTTATCACGGTCTTCATGCAGGAAGATTCCCTGCTGGTTCCAAATTAATTATGTAATGAAAGGATTTAATTTGATATGGGCATAAGTGCAGATAACTTGGTGGACTTATAACTCAAGAGTATCACTTGGTACAATGTACATGATGATTTTTTTTAAGAATTGGCATCAAATTATGACAAATATGTTTGTTTGTATTGCCTTCATGCTACAGTATATCAATCAGGTTTTGGCGATTGGCACATTGAGACTCCTGTTCTAAACTATTTACATTGATACAAGGCCTGCTGTACTATAATCCACTATTAACAGTACCTAACTACACAGTATAGCTAACAGGTATTAACCCTTTCACCCCTATGTAACTTTAGCAGACTCTACCATGCATTTATATGGATGAGTCCATTATGGTCTACAGTGGTGAAAGGGTTAAAGGAATTATATACAATTTATTGTACCCTAATATAATTGCATCCTTCTATCTTTCTTGCTACAAAAAATGCCTAGATCAAGATGAAATTCTCCGACGAATAACCTTGCTATAGCAGACACAGTACCTGGCTTATTGTATATGTGCTTCTGAGCTTAGGTGTATGGCTTTGCAGCTCTATAGTCTGATTAGCATTTAACCTATATATATATAACAGTTATAGACACGGATCTAATTCTGAGAGGAGCCCGACACTAACTCACAACACTACTGCATGATTATTGATATATCTCACATAGAATATTCTGCGATGTAACGTCACTCTGGCGGGTCTCCGTTATGAGACTCCTCATGTCACTGCTCACGGTGTATTCAGCAAATTGTAATCTGTCTGGTGATAAAACTGTTTTTGTAACAATAAAGAAATCGTTTATCTGAAAGCCTTATCATTTTACAGATTGAAATGGCTGTCAAAATGTCAGGATTATTCCTTCTACATTTTCATCAGAATTTTATGAAAACTCCACAGATATAATTGCCATATTCTTACCCCTACACCTACACCTATGTTTTGATCCACCTATTTATATGGCCATTTTATAAAATTCTATGAGGAAGGGAAATCAATTTTGTATTATAAATGGTGGGTGTGAGCCCCCTGGGGCAGAGGGATGGGGCCCAATAGGGAGAATAGAAAAATAGCTTTAAAATCCTTCTGCTTCTGTAGGAATGACAGGATTATGTCCATATTTGGTCTAAAGCATCCTTGGGCGAAGGGGAACTAATTTTGTATCAACGGTGGGTCTGACCCCCCTGGGGACAGATGCCCGGGCGGGGCCCAATAATGGAAACATAGCAAATTCTTCAAAATTATCCTTTTTCTGTAGGAATGACAGGATTTTGTCCAGTAGCATATATACATATAACCCCTGACTAACCATGTAATACATGTACAGCAACATCTCACTATTTCAACTTCAATTTTGCTAACATTTCCAGGTGAGCGATGCAGGCCCTCTGGGCCTGTTGTTATCAATACTTATTGAACTTAATACGCATGATCAATAACCTTTTGGAAGTTGTGTAAATACAATTTTCTATTAATTGATGAAATGCTATAAGTAAAAAATCCTATTAAAAAATTGGCGATCGTTCAATGCACTGTTGCAAACTGAAGTCTTGTAGAATAATGGATTATTGTACAGTGTAGTGCTAATTGTTCTGCTGGTGTTAGTCAAGTGGTAAAGTTTGATCTACCCATAACAATAGTGACAGAAAACATAAGATCACATCACAAATTTACTAAATATGCTGTGCTTATGATTTCCCATACTGACATGATGTACAAATCTATATAACTTGATAGTGGTAGATTAATATTACTAATTGTTTTTATTTTATTTGACTAAATGTGTTAGGTTTTTTTTATTAATTGTGTAACATTATATAGAGTTATATATCTTCAGAGTTACAGTGGTAGATCCAGATCCAGATTTTTTAAAAATATCTTGAGTGTGCTGGGTTGGGGTTTTCCAATGAGAAAAATGAGAAAAAAATAGATTTTAACTCTTTCACCACTGTAGACCATAATGGACTCTTCCAGATTAATGCATGGTAGAGTTCACTCAAGTTACATAGGGGTGAAAGGGTTAAACGAAAATAAAGGTCCGGGAGGTATCCTGACCTTTATTCTGTGCTGGATCTGTCACTGAATTGTGTTTCTGTGTCCATTGTTACATGTGTACTATTTTATACAGTGTTTGATTGATGTGTATGTTGATAAACCTGTCACATAGGTTTATACCTAAACTTCTATGACATAACTTATGTCTCTATAGATAACATGCACTTGATAGCCATCAGAACATGTTTAGATATGTCGTTTTTTTCAGGTTTAGTCAACAAACGCTGCAGGGTACAGCTGTTGTACCAAATTGCATGACGTGAATGCGTGCTCTCAGAACTATTATACAGTATACATGCATGTTTCATTCAAAATCCCATTTCCATTTCTCACCCCTGGCACTTGAGTTTGAAATATATATACAAACTGTTTGTTCCATTTATTGTTTCATTGTTTGATAATGTGTCATATATGAATAGATATGTGTTTCCTAAATGGGAACATTATATAGTTTTGCTTGTTTTGTTTATTTCCAATCATGTCACCAGTCCAAGTGTCCATTTCAGTAAATATGTAACTTGGATGACCTGTGGGTATTTACTGGGAGTCACCATCTCCGGGAATTTACAGTAAACCTCTGCATGTCCCACCTACGAGTTGGATCATACAGAGATGGGTCTGGGGATTCATTTTACATTTTCAACTCAGGCTGAAATACTGCCAAAGGGATTTCATTGATACTTCATGGGAATGTTACTGACAATCCCTGACCAAGTGTTGTTATTTTTTGGGTCAATCAGAAATCCAATATGGCCACCATGGCAGCCATTTTGAAAAACTATTACAAACTTAAAGTCAAGTTCTACTGGGCCTATTTAAGTGAAACTTAGTAGGAATGATCGACTCATGGTCCTGACAAAGTGTTGTTATTTTTTGGGTCGATCAGAAATCCAATAGGGCCGCCAGGGCCGGCCATTTTGAAAAACTATTTAAAACTTAAAGTCAAGTTCTACTGGGCCGATTTAACTGAAACTTGGTAGAAATGATCAACTCATGGTCATGACAAAATGCTGTTAGTTTTTTGGGTCGATCAGAAATCCAATATGGCCACCACGACCACCATTTTGAAAAACTATTTCAAACTTAAAGTAAAGTTTTACTGGGCCAATCTAAATGAAACTGGGTAGGAATGATCAACTTATGGTCCTGACAAAGTGCTGTTATTTTTTGTGTCGATCAGAAATCCAATATGGCCACCATTTTGAAAAACAATTTCAAACTTAAAGTCACGTTCTACTGGGCCCATTTAACTGAAACTTGGTAGGAATTATCAACTAATGGTCCTGGCAAAAAAAAAAAATCAGGTCCATCAAAAATCCAATACAGCCGCCACTGTTGCCATTTTGGAAAAAACTATTTAAAACTTAAAATCAAGTTCTAATGGGCCATATTAACTGAAACTCGGTCTAGGAATGATCAACTCATTGTCCTGACAGACTTAACTTAAAGTTATACTTAACTTTTTTTTACTCAAATTTTGTTAGGGATGATTGACATCAATATCTTCACTTCATATTTCAGCAACAAAAATTAATGCTGTAGGACTCAGGTGACCGTTAAGGCCCATGGGCCTCTTGAGGTTATCTGAGGTTTGTACTGTAGTATTATATACCAGATCCTGTTTAACATGCTGTATTTGAAACCTCTGATCTCAACTGATCATCCCCCTCCCCTCACTAAACAAAAAACAAATGTAAGGATTCTGGGTCTGCAAATCTTTTTAATTAATTGAAATTACAGCTCAGCCCTACTGACGATGATTATAACGTCGTATTAAGAAAAGTGGATAGCCAACCAGTGGTACCTCCGGGAAGACATCACCTTTGATTTAGATGCCTAGTGTATTTTTGTTGATGATTTACTCCAGTCCCATGTTTGGTTGTACATCCAGTACAGTGTTATGTATCCAGTGAGTTAGAGAGAGCCGTGCCAAGGGTAAACAGGAGATAGACGAGAGTGAGGGTCAGTGTGTGCTAGCATTGTAATTAGATGGGGAAGCTATTTTCCCCCTTTTAAAGTTGTATTGTATGTATTTTTCTTGCATACAGGTTACCGCTTGCCTCTGAGTTTGGAGTAAGGATGACCCATCATTGAGCGGGTGCAGTAAGTAGGCAGCAGACTCAGAGCTGGAGTCACCAGCAGCCGGTCGGAAAACTTGGGGTCGATCATGTCATCTGAAATACCATGAAGCAAGCTTAGTTGTAGAACTGATTCAGGGAAGGGCCTAGAGCTATATGTAGAATGTACACAGCTTGACAGTCAAAAACCTGTGTTTAACATACCTCCTGAATGACATACAAACTTCCCTGACGACCATAAGTCACAGAGTCACAGTTGATTCTGCTTTGCATGCTTTTTTTCTCTATCTGAGCTGCAATCCTTAGCCCAGCCTACAACTCTGTCCAAACTACCCACTACAGGGTACCCAGACACCTGAATCAGTTAGTCTGGTGTAAGGTCATCTATCATCCTCCATCACAATTAAATCATTTCCCTTTATTTCAGGGAAGGGGCTGTTCCAAAAATATCTGAGTGGAGAGACAAACTTGGCAATGTCAAATAAATGTTAATATTGTTGATTGCTAAGTTGTAATAACAGAAAATCAAAATCAAAATTGAGCCCCTCTCATGCCCTGGTCCTGTCTGCTCTATGTTAGGGTCAAAGTTCAACCTTGCTGCTCTGATTCGTCCAGAATGATGGTAGCATGACCAGTAAGGATGCATGCTATCAAGGGAGATAACTGGAACCAGAGATCATGAATTATGTTCTCTGGTTCCAGACATGATCATAAGGAAATGTGGGCTGCAAATTGTTCATTGTACCTCACCAGATCATTTAAGTTATAAATTGTAATCTTGATTTTTAGAGAGAGAAAAAATTCCACCTGGTAATGAGAATTTTGTTGTCTAAATACAAATGTCTAAATAACTTCAACTGTAGGTTTCCTAACTTATTTTGAATTCTATATTTACATCAAAACTTCATCATATATAAATATTTATGCAAAAGGACAGATTCTTTCCAAATATTGCAAAGACTGTCTTGCAAAAATTATTCTTTGTAAAAAGGTATAACAAATTAATTGGGGCAAATATAATTTGATGTTAAATTTTATAAAAACTCTCAGTTCTTAGCTCAAAGTCACTGTGACACAACATTTTAAAAGAAATTGTAATCCAATGTTTTTTTACTTTTTTGACCACATCAGTTTTAAAGCTGTTTCTAGTCTTTATGTAGGTTTCATTGCTTTCATTAGATTCTACCCTAGGTACTGTAATTAGTAGGTCTCATTGTTTTCATTAGATTCTACCCTAGGTACTGTAATTAGTTTGTGTACAATTTGCAGTTCACATTTGACAACTCGTCTCTCACAGATAAGTGTTTTGAAGCATCATTTTGAGATGTGGCCGTGAGGCACTTTTACCACTAACAGTCCTTGATTTAACTTGGGGTACAGACATCGATTCTGGAGCCTGCCACAGAAACTCGGCTCATTGCTGGCTTATATTTGTGGCGGTCAGTCTGTGGCGGACTCCAGCACTTTGTCCTGTGGTTCGTGAGGCAGATCAAGGTGTGCTGGTGGTATATATATACCCATCATTTACATCTAGAACAACATTGTCCCCACACAATTTTCCTGAAGAAAAAATGTTTTCAATTGAACTGGTCATACTATCATTGGTCTGGATGAATAGGTTTATCAGAAGTGGATACTTTTAATAAAATCTTGTTTGATTTGATTTGCTTCTGCTAATTTTCATTTTTAAACTTTAAACTTTTTAGTTTTACATAGGAAATGTTTCACGTTTTTATTAGGAAAAGTAAATGTTATTTTAGTAAATTTTTATCTAGTCATTCGATATTTCAACACTAAATATTGTAGTAAATTTATATGTCAGTTCAAGTAAGTGACACTTAATGATCAATTACTGGTTACAATTAGATAATTGACGCTTATTAATTCAGTAAAAATTGTGCAAGTTTTCTTTGAATTTTTTTTTCTTCAATTTTTGTATATTATTATCTTGTGCCTCCAGTATGTTTCTTTAGATAATCTTAGCAATGTATCCACTTCTGATATAAACTGAAGCAACAGTCAGTTGAAAGCTGAGTAAACAAGGGATGCAGGCTGCCATCTTGCCCTCCAGAGATGTATTGGAGAGACATGTGGCAAACCTGTCTAGCACATGTCTGGTGCCAGTTAGCCCTCCATAATTTGTAGGAGAGACAAATCTGGCATACTGAGAGACTCACCGCCCCAAAATAAAACCAACCCTCACTTTTGACTTTGTATTTTGCAACATTTGGCATATAAAAACCATGGATGTCATTTCGCCCTCCTTTTTCTGTTGGAGAGACGATACTGACATCTCAAACTGCAAAATTTCTTTTTTTAATTATTTATTTATTATAAAATATATTTCACACATGCCAGTTGGCCCTCCTTTGAAAGAAGTTTCTGGAATAGTTACCACGGAGAAACGCCAGAAAGCGGGACGTATGGCAGAAGTACGACGTACCAGTTGTTGTGTGGTTATTTATATATATAAGTTTTATTACAGCCAATCAAGGGCTATTCCGATAACTAACCCCGTCACGGAGAGACATACATGGCACGCTAACTTTAGGCTAGACTACCTTGTTTCGGTCAAACTTTTATTAAAACAGATGTCATAATGCCCTCCTATACGTTGAGAGACATAATGTGACGTCTATGAAAATAAATTATTTGGACATATTTTGGCGTTAATAAAATGGGTGTCATAATGCCCTCCTATACGTTGAGAGACATAAGGTGACATCTTTATGATTCTAAATTTGTAACAATATTCAATATTTTTCGGCAAAACAAAAGCCGATGTCATAATGCCCTCCTATACGTTGAGAGACATAAGGTGACATCTAAGCCAAATTCCTATGAAATGCTAGGCACAACAGGAAGTACATTATTCAAAATACTGTAGAAAATGGAAATACTAGGGTTGTTGGCCATTCAGCTCCTCCAGATGAAGACAAAGTCCCAATTATGGAGAGACATGTATGGCTTCGCGGTAGATAGTGCCATATTGCCCTCCAGATTGTGGATTAATTGTGGAACTGCCCTTCCTTGTAAAATAAGGTCACCCTCATACATGGCAGTAAGTCTGTCACACAGTCTTTTAGACACCATACTTTCAGAGTGCACACATTACCACACAGAAATCATTTCGGCACCACCAACTTCTAGTACTCTATTTCTTCACTTGAGTATATAAGTGATGCCACTCAATATCACATTTTACTTTCAAACACGTAACAATTATACCCCAATACCAATAAAGGTTGGAAACTTCTCTTGTAACCAAATTTCATTTTAATACTAACTTGGGTGCAGGAAATCTATATATTTACCTCAATGATCAATTAATTGCTATCCATTTACAAGTCTTTAAAATTTCATCCTTTATGAAATAATTAATAAAGATGAAATGTTATAGTGAATAAAACCTCATGGTAGGTATGTTTATCTAAACTTGCGATTATTCTGTAATTGTCATTAGTTTTTAATTTGGAAATTATTGTCGCTGCCTTAGGCTCTCTGTCAGTGGTTCTAGGTGTTTCTTAAGTGTAACTGTGCATTCTCGGATCACAGCAATATATTATACTAATCATTCTGTACAAAAATGCGAAACTATCATACTTAACTATATTCCTGATAACCTCTGCACTCTTATTCTGTCATCTACCAAAGTAACGATACAAGATAACATTTCACTATGCATTTATCATTCTCAAAGAGTTAATATGAAGAATCTAAAACCAGCACCACAAATAATCATGAAACGATAAAAGTTCAAAATTAAAAAAAAAATCAAAAAAAAAATCTGATATCGTCCAGTCATACACAAGTGCCTCAACAAACCCTACAATGGATGTCTTTTCAGGTGCGTTATCCTATGCTGAGTTAGGAACAATGATCACACGGTCGGGAGCTGAGTATGCCTACCTTAAGGAAGCGTTTGAGCCAATGCACAAAACACTTGGTTCAATTCCTGCCTTCATGTACGCGTGGACTTCGGTACTTATCTTGAAGCCAGCCCTGTTTGGCGTGGTGGCGATGAGCTTTGCCCTGTACAGTACAGAACCATTCTACCCATGTGGCCCACCTGAAATTGTCATCAAACTGGTGTCTGTTGCCTGTCTGTGTGAGTCAATCAAAATGCAGAATTCTTTTACCGCATAATGTGCATGCTAGAGACATCGTCCAATAGCTTAGAGTATGCTGAAGGATGTTTATCAATTATGGACTTTGGTTGAGGTATAAATGTACTTATATGGACCTGAGAAAGCCATATTGACCAAGATGAAGTGGAGGTCTTTATTACTTTTCAGATCCATGTAACCACATATTCACTGAAATAAAAGTCCTTATTTAATTGTTACGTGAGACATGGATTCATAATACTTTTTATCATTTGAAAAGGTGGAATATAAGAAAATCACCAAGAGAAAAGCAAACTGTCGGACAGAGAACATTGTGACATTACAATTGAAGAGATCTCATCAAGATAATATTGACGTACCGTTTAAAAGAACAACAATAAGTCAATGTCACGAATCACAGATATACACATGATCATGATCCAAACCGATAAGGATGTAGCAAAATCGTTTTTCATCTAATACTGACCAATAGCCAAGATGTTGTTGAATGATGTTGACCAATAGCCAAACATGTTGTTGAGGGATATTGACCAATAGCCAAGATGTTGTTGAGGGGTATTGACCAATAGCCAAGATGTTGGTGAGGGATATTGACCAATAGCCAAGATGTTGTTGAATGATATTGACCAATAGCCAAGATGTTGTTGAGGGGTATTGACCAATAGCCAAGATGTTGGTGAGGGATATTGACCAATAGCCAAGATGTTGTTGAATGATATTGACCAATAGCCAAGATGTTGTTGAGGGGTATTGACCAATAGCCAAGATGTTGGTGAGGGATATTGACCAATAGCCAAGATGTTGTTGAATGATATTGACCAATAGCCAAGATGTTGTTGAGGGGTATTGACCAATAGCCAAGATGTTGGTGAGGGATATTGACCAATAGCCAAGATGTTGTTGAGGGGTATTGACCAATAGCCAAGATGTTGTTGAGGGATATTGACCAATAGCCAAAAGGAACTACAAATTCAGTTTGACTTAAAATGATAAATAGTACAATATTTGATTTTATTCCGACCCCATGTGATAAGTGTCTGTGATTCCATTGTATAACTAATTCTGAGTTAGTTGTTATTATTGTTATTTCAATGTTTGTATAGATAGCTAACCTACCTGTTCTTGTTCCAGTTGTGGTCTCCTTCATCAACTGCTACAGTGTAAGTTTGGCCACCAAAGTACAGAACGTTTTCACAGTAACAAAGCTGGTGGCTGTCGCTGTCATCACTGTCGGAGGATTCGTCATGATTAGCAGAGGTAGGTCCTTACCTTATACTTCCTACAGATACCATTGCCTACAGGACGGCAGGGTAGACTACAGCAAAAGTAACCAGCTATGGCAACAAATTGAAACCTTGAAACAGTGATGATGTTATTTATAATACAAAGATATGTACATGATTGTTGATGCTTAGGGTGGTCGGGTCACCTGCCCAACCACGTGGGTTTTCTCCAGGTACTCCGGTTTCCTCCCACATTGAAACCCCCCGCATGCTTTCATCTGGGCCAACAAGATTGATTAATATAAGTTGTAAAAACTTGTTTCATAATTGTTGTGAAATAAATAAAGTTTATATTGATGATGCTTAGCTCATGGTATTCCAGTCATCTAACCGGTAGAAGATTGTTGACATAAAAAACACATGTGATATTCATTATGGTTTCGGTTTTCCAGGAGAAACTGAGGTCCTCGAGACTGGGTTTGAGGGTACCGAAAATTCAATGTCAATGATTGCCTTGGCTTTCTATGACGGACTTTGGGCATATGATGGCTGGTAAGTCAAATCAAATCACAGTATAGTAGTAAAAAAATAGATTTTAGTTGATGATTTAGTAAACATGCATGTAAAATTTGTGGTGAACTAAAAACTCTGTCAATCTCAGATTTACAGTAGATTTGTTATCAATGTTGGAATTGATTGCTGTACAGTCCGACTCTCCTTCTAGAAACATTTCTATTTTTACTGTATATTTCACCTGATCATCTAGCTAACCTCTCCACAATATCTAAATCCTGACAGCTTACCTAGTGATTGTTAAGTAGCCAGTACAGTTTTTCTCTGACAAATGGAAAGTGATATTAGCGAAATCTACTGTACTGACCGAGGAACCCAGACATGGCTGAGTGAATTATAGTTTATCCAGCTTGATAACTTATCTGTTATTGATGACATCTAATGTACTCATTGTGTCTCCTACCTGATTCTTCAGGAACAATCTTAATTACGTGACAGAAGAAATCCAGGATCCACATAAGTAAGTAATATATAACGAAATAGTTTTATCAGCCATTAGTGTTTGGAGTATATGTTTATTTTCTGGAGAGAGAAACAAGGTTTATAATTACTTTTGTAAGAATTTCCCTGTGTAAGGTTCACAGTATATCAATTGATGGATTTATTTAGCATATAAAAGTCATTGTTATCAGATGTGCTTACTGTTATAATCTCTTTAACTTTTATACAATTTTCCTAGCTTTGATTGATTCTGGCTGTTTAGACATGTAAACTATATCTTATATGAGTGGTTTGGTAAGAGATGATGTTTATTGTGTATCAGAAACCTGCCCAGAGCGATCATGATCGCCATTCCTCTGGTGACCGTCTGCTACTTCTTCACCAATATATCCTACCTGACTGTCATGACAACGAAAGAACTTCTGGCTTCTGCTGCTGTTGCCACGGTAATAATTCTTACCTGATTATAAGACATGACAACTGTATTTTTACTTTTGACTAGATGTAATAATCTAATAATTTAACGTATAAGTCTGTTAAATGATTATTACATTCAGTTTGGTACAAAAACGTAGGTTATCGGGATTACTTGTCTCTCAACTTTATGTACTGTGAATATCTCTTGATCTGAACAGACTTTTCAGCACATTATGTTTGTTCTGTTGTGTGTAAGTTAATATCAATGCAACTTCTAAAAAACTGCGCATAGGAATTTGAATTTCTATTAACATATGTATGTATCAATCAATACTGCAGCACCCTCTTGTGAGTATTGCATGCATGATTGCGATATTTAACCCTAAAAAGAGTATTGACCTGATCATGAATATTTTTTTCAAGTTTAAGTCTAAGTGCCAATATATAGATTTTGAGGTCTCTTTAATGTTATCCTCAATAACGACACACAAGACAGATCATCTTGATGATATAACTCAATTTAAATGTTGTTTTATGTTAAAGACTTGGGGAGAGCGGGTACTTGGAGGCTTTGCAATGCTCATACCTATCTCTGTGGCGTTCTCTACGTTTGGAGCTGCTAACGGCTCCTGTTTCACCGGAGGGAGGTAAGCTTGACAACGACATGTGTAATAACAGTAACAAGTAGAGAGCTTCTCAATAGAATAGCTAATATGTGGAACGTATGTACATGGTTGGTCTCACATTCTGAATTCAGAATTCAGTGCTTTTGTTTTTGTTTTTTTGTTTTTTAACATTTACAGTGCCTTTTCTAGTACAGATATAGATGGTGTACTATCATGTTTGCTATTTGTGTTATAGTGAGAGTTTTGATTGTACTTCAGGGTGATGTTTGTGGCGGCCAGGGAGGGCCATCTACCCGAGGTGCTGTCCTACGTTCATGTCAAACAGTACACTCCACTTCCATCTCTTTTGTTCTCGGTAAGATTGTGTGTCCTGTAACCCAGACCTTCACGCCTCTTTTCTCAGTAAGATTATGTTCCCTGAATCTGAGCCCTACATTTAAATCTTGGTAAGATCATGTGTCCTGTAACCAAGACCTATTCAGTTCTACTTTTGGTAAAAAAAAGTGCCCTCTTATTTTAAAGGTAAAAGTAAAACTAGGGCAAATTTCATCTGCCACCTTGATAACCATACTGTTGCCTGTTGTCCATTTTTAGCTCACCTGGCCCGAAGGGCCAAGTGAGCTTATCCCATGGTGCAGCGTCCGGCGTCCGGCGTCCGGCGTCCGTCAACTTTTTCCTTTAAAATGATACTTGTCCTGAATGGCTCAGAGGATTTTAACCAAATTTGGTCAGGAGCATCATTGGCCAAAGGGTTCTCAGTTTTGTATAAACGGAGGGTATAACCCCCCTGGGGACAGAGGGGCGGGGCCAAATAGGGGGAAAATAGGTAAATCTTTAAAAATCTTCTTCTTCTCAACCAATAGAAGGATTTTGACCAAATTTGTCCTAGAGCATCTTTGGACAAAGGAGACTCAAGTTTGTATAAACGGAGGGTGTGGCCTCTTTGGGGGCAGAGGGGCGGGGCCAAATAGGGGAAGTAGAGGATTTTTTCTCTCCTACTATACAAGTGAAGGGATTTAAACCAAATGCAGTCTGAAGCTTGGTCAGGAGCATCATTGGCCAAAGGGTTCTCAGTTTTGTATAAACGGACGGTATAGCCCCCCCTCGGGGCAGAGGGGCGGGGCTAAATAAGGGGAAAAAAGGTAAATCTTTAAAAATGTTCTTCTTCTCAACCAATTGAAGGATTTTGACCAAATTTGTCCTAGAGCATCTTTGGACAAAGAAGACTCAAGTTTGTATAAACGGAGGGTGTGGCCCCTCTGGGGGCGGAGGGGCGGGGCCCAATAGGGGAAATAGAGGATTTTTTTTCTCCTGCTATACAAGTGAAGGGATTTTAACCAAATGCAGTCTGAAGCATGATTAGGGACAAAAGAATCAATTTTGTATAAACTGAGGTGTGTGGGCCTCCTTCTAAGGGCAGATGGGTGGGGCCCATTAGGGGAAATAGAGGAAAACATCAAATATCCTTCTCCTTTTGTACCGATGAAGGGATTTTGACCAAATTTGGTCTGGAGCATCATTGGCCAAAGGGTTCTCAGTTTTGTATGAACGGAGGGTATGGTCCCCCTGGGGGCAGAGGGACGGGGCCAAATAGGGGAAAATAGGTAAATCTTTAAAAATCTTCTCCTCAACCAATTGAAGGATTTTGACCAAATTTGTCCTAGAGCATCTTTGGACAAAGGAGACTCAAGTTTGTATAAACGGAGGGTGTGGGCCTTCTGGCGGCATAGGAGCGGGGCCCAATAGGGGAAATAGAGGATTTTTTTTCTCCTACTATACAAGTGAAGGGATTTAAACCAAATGCAGTCTGAAGCATGCTTAGGGAGAAAAGAATCAATTTTGTTTAAACTGAGGTGTGTGGATTCCCCTTCTTTGGGGCAGATTAGTGGGGCCCATTAGGGGAAATAGAGGAAAACATTAAAGATCCTTCTCCTTCTGTACCGTTGAAGGGATTTTAACCTAACCAAACTTGTTTTAGAGAATCTTTGGGCAAAGGGAATTGAATATTTATAAATGGAAGATGCAACTTTGTTACTTGTACTCCTTTGATAAACCTGAATGGTACTCAGCAGGTTTTAAATTGAAAAATAAAATACCAGGTGAGCTATTAAGGCCCCTGGGCCTCTTGTTCCTTACTCCTTACCAATTTCTCCATTGCTGAATTTCTGAACTTCCTGGTACAGTATAGAATTGTTGCTTTACTGACACTGCTGTTTATTGATTTCAGACAGCACTGGCGGCTATCCTGGTGACGTTAGGGGATATTTTTACCTTGATTGATTACTTCAGTTTTGCTGCATGGTTTTTCTATGGAGCCACGATGGCAGCGCTGCTTGTCCTCAGATACACGTCGCCAGACCGTGAACGCCCATACAAAGTAAGTAGCCAGGGATAGGATGCTTACGGCACTGTAACCTAATGGTACATAGTCACCTCTCACTGTTACTCCAACAGTGTTTGAGGTTTACACGGCGAGATACTTTTGACAGTCGGCAAAATCATATCCGATAGAGAAAAGGCAGACCAGCGGCCTCTTATGTTGTAGTACTCTCACTGTGTACTTCAGCTATAATGTTTGGTGTCTAGATATCTAGATTTCTATGTCCAGAGTTCTGTTGCCATCCTCCTTACTACGGTGATTAGATTTCCATAGTGACATATTGCCATGGTTCAAAGAAAGGTGGTAACAACAGCCAGGTATAACATAACCTTAACCCTTTCACCACTGTGGACCACAATGGACTCATCCATATCAATGTATGGCAGAGTCTACTAAAGTTACATAGGGGTGAAAGGGTTAATAGTTCACATGATAAGGATGCTAAAGCGAGGTTACTAAAAGTTTTAGTTATTGTCCATAGAACATAGTGAGGAAACAATCTCCGAGTTAGTAACTGTTTTCATGCCGTAGTAACATTTCCGTTGTAACTTTGTGTTCTCCAGGTGCCAATAATTGTTCCAGTGATAGTCTTGTTATTCTCCATCTACCTTGTCGTCGCCCCGATCGTACAGAACCCACGGATCGAGTTCCTCTACGCCTTCCTCTTCATGATCAGCGGCCTGTTCTTCTACGTCCCGTTTGTTGTGTACAAAACTTCGTTTAAATTTACAGGTAGGGGTCTTTAATTTGTGCATTTTGATTATATAACCGGTAATTATATATTTAGTTCAAACGTCAATGTACAGAACTGCGTAGGCATATAACAAGTACTTTGATTACAAACACTGTCATATCGTATACCGGTACACTTTTTGTTACTACCGGGTAGTATTACTTACTTCATTCTTATAAGAAAAATTTCCCCCAAACATAGGATAGATTGCAGTTTTCTTCAGTTTTGAATAATGTAATGACTATATACAGATCATTGTCCTGGCCCTTTAAGTTAAAGGATAAATGCTTTGATGGCTTTAATTGATGTACTGAACAATGGTTTTTACAAATTATGATTATTAATATTGTCTTTTCTCTGATTGCAGAAAAAGTGACTCGATTTTTACAGCTTGTGCTGTTGGTAGCACCAAGCAGGTACGAACAACTTGTCGCCGACTGAAAACCTGGATTGGATATTAGAATTTTATGACAAATTACATTTTGTATAAGACTAATAGGTGTATATAATTTATCTAATTACAAAAACTCTTTATGCATTTCTGAAGTGGAAACCATAATTATATATCTAATTGTTCTGTGATAGGGAAACCATGGGCAGCTGCTATCAGGAATCATAGTTTGAATAATATTCTGGATCCTGTCTCTGTTAGAAAGTCCACAGCACACTCCTCCTCTCACTCACCCTGGTACATTGTACTGGTAATGTTGTCTAGGCTGGCTACCAATACAGAACACTGGATCAGATGGTATCTAAGTAGCTATACATCTAGAGATCACTAGCACAGGATCAGATGGTATCTAAGTAGCTCTACATCTAGAGGTCACTAGTACAGGATCAGATGGTATCTCAGTAGCTATACATCTAGAGGTCACTAGAACAGGATCAGATGGTATCTAAGTAGCTCTACATCTAGAGGTCACTAGTACAGGATCAGATGGTATCGAAGTAGCTATACATCTAGAGATCACTAGCACAGGATCAGATGGTATCTAAGTAGCTCTACATCTAGAGGTCACTAGTACAGGATCAGATGGTATCTAAGTCGCTATACATCTAGAGGTCACTAGTACAGAATCAGATGGTATCTAAGTAGCTATACATCGAGAGGTCACTAGTACTGGATCAGATGTTATCTAAGTAGCTACACATCTAGAGATCACTAGTACTGGATCAGACGGTACCTAAGTAGCTATACATCTAGAGATCACGAGTACTTGATCAGATGGTATCTAAGTAGCTATACAACTAGAGATCACTTATACAGGATCAGATGGTATCTAAGTAGCTACACATCTAGAGGTCGCTAGTACAGGATCAGATGGTATCTAAGTCGCTATACATCTAGAGGTCACTAGTACAGAATCAGATGGTATCTAAGTAGCTATACATCTAGTGGTCACTAGTACTGGATCAGATGGTATCTAAGAAGCTATACATCTAGAGGTCACTAGTACCGGATCAGATGGTATCTAAGTAGCTATACAACTAGAGATCACTTATACAGGATCAGATGGGATCTAAGTAGCTATACATCTAGAGATCACTTATACAGGATCAGATGGGATCTAAGTAGCTATACATCTAGAGATCACTAGTAATGGACCAGATGGTATCTAAGAAGCTATACATCTAGAGGTCACTAGTACCGGATCAGATGGTATCTAAGTAGCTATACATCGAGAGGTCACTAGTACTGGATCAGATGTTATCTAAGTAGCTACACATCTAGAGATCGCTAGTACTGGATCAGATGGTATCTAAGAAGCTATACATCTAGAGGTCACTAGTACTGGATCAGAGGGTATCTAAGTAGCTATACATCTAGAGGTCACCAGTACAGGACAAGGGATCAGATGGTATCTAAGTAGCTATACAACTAGAGATCACTTATACAGGATCAGATGGTATCTAAGTAGCTACACATCTAGAGGTCGCTAGTACAGGATCAGATGGTATCTAAGTGGCTATACATCTAGAGGTCACTAGTACAGGATCAGATGGTATCTAAGTAGCTATACATCTAGAGATCACTTATACAGGATCAGATGGTATCTAAGTAGCTATACATCTAGAGGTCACTAGTACTGGATCAGATGGTACCTAAGTAGCTATACATCTAGAGGTCACCAGTACAGGACAAGTACCAAGTCGCGCAGTATAATTCTGTTCACCAAAGTGCACTGATTAAATACTGTAATATTTGTATACAAGGGTAAATCCAGCGACACAAGATGAAAACCATCACATATTTCTGTTGAACTGAAATGTTGTTATTTTATATAGTTTGTTATGAAGACAACGTTATTTCTAGTCATGTTTCCAATTCAGTATTTATTTAAGTTCTTTCTGTTTACCTTGATTTGCTCAATCTTTAACAACTTTACTAAGTGCATTAAACAAACATACGTACAGATACATGTCAATAGATAACGGTTTTAACAACAGTCAAACATTGTTTGTAAATTTGAACATTCATTCTAGATTTTTGTCCCCATCTTAATTCAGATTGCAAAATGGTTTAATGCTATTTCGGGGGGAAAATAATTCTGTAAATGAAGTTTTTAAATCCAGAAAAATAAGTTCAATTAAATAATATGTTTAACAAGGTTCCCTACTTTAGAAGTTTAAATTGATACTTTTTCCTAATTAAAACCTAGCAAATCGGCAGTTGACTTTTAAACAGGTGTTTAAAGCAACTATAACCATATTATAATTAACAAAAGAATGTTGGAATATGAATTAAGAAAAAAATAAATGGCTTTCCTACCTACCCACCTTATCCAATTTTTAACTTGTAAACCTAAACAAACATTTAATTTTGTTTGGCCTAATGTTCAACTCTACATATCACATATCAAACTTCAAGACGAAGAAAGTCTGTGAATATTTAATTTTATTGGTCAGACAGGGTAAGTGAGAGAGAGCTCCTTGAATATCATTCCGTTTTGTGGACAGTTTCTTCAGTGGTGTCAGGGTCCAGACCTCCACCCATCTGCATGGAGAACGAAATGTCATGAAATATATCTACTGATATGCAGATTGGAATTCTATTGAACACTTATGTGGTGCTAATGATGGTGTCATTTATGTGTATACTGTTTGAAGTCACTGTAAACAAAAACGCTCGTTGTAGATGTAAATATTAGCTGAGGTTAGCATACAGATGTATATATGTAAATACGGCTGTTGTATATAAGAGTAATGTGTTGTTCACTAGCCAATACTTCGTCGGGGTTCTATACACCTGTCTCAGTGATTACAGGTACAAATTTCTACATAGTACTAGTTAAGGGAAAAAATATTCAAAAATATTGATTACAGCTTACAAAGCTGAAATGCCCAGGAAGGTAATTTCTGTGCTACTGGCTACCGTTTTCATAACTTATACTAAAACTAAAATCTAAAAAAAACCAAAAAAGACTTGAAAGTATTAACAATTAAATTGTCAACTGGATCAATAAACAAACTTAAAAAGCGTTTACAAATATTGTGTACTCTTTCTAATAATGATGTTGATTTATGAGGCACTGGTGACGGGAGTATATCAAATAATGAAAATAGAAATGTTTGTTAGATCACCCTGTCAAATTATGTGTCAAATCATACAGCAACAAATGGTTACAAATGTAGCTTCCGATTATTATACACCGTATGTTACAAGGATTAATGAGGGTGTATACTATTAATGTGAATTGTTTGTGTAAGTGCTAGCTGAAGTTTATGATCTAATCGTGTATGTAGTATTATATTACAAAACTAGGCCTACCATGATTTTTGATTCCATAAATCTTCATCTTGAATGAAAGTTATAATTTTGAGATTTTAAGGAGATTGATGAATGTTAGTTTGATATATATTATTATTTTGCTGTGTCTGATATAATTTTAGCCTTAAGTCTATATCTATAAACTCTAGCCAATCACATAAGGCTGGCTTGTAGGTATGATTTAGCCTTAAGTCTATATCTAAATCCAGCCAATCACATAAGGATGGCTTGAAGGTATGATTTAGCCTGTAGTCTATGTCTAATTCTAGCCAATCACATAAGGCCATTAAGCTATCATGTTGTAAATAGTCATTTGATAAATTATTTGATGCATTCATCTGATATTTCGTTTGTATTTTTCTACATTAGTGCTAAATCCTAAGAGCATGGCCGAAGGAGATATATTAGTATACCGGGGTACAACACTGAGGGTTGTACACCTTGTCCCGACACAGAGTAGATCAGGGAACGGCCTGGGATATAGAAACGCTTTGCTCTATTTGGGTGGGGGTGTCACTGATACTCTATAGTGCCAAACTGTATCAGTGTTCTACTCTAATGTTCAGAGTAGCACAGGTGCTTCAATCATTTTTATCTAACAGTAAACATGACATATGATGGGAATGGTGAATATCAAATACATACGTATATTTCAAAATGTTTGTCGGTTAAGATAATAAGATGTTGCAAAAATGTAGTAGCTATGCAAGGAAAGTTTGAACCCTTTTGTTGTAAATTTAAAATTAGCTAAATAAATATACCACCAGTTACCACGCTATAGACAGATCAGTTGTGTACTCTAGCAGTGTTAAAAGAACCTGTTCACAAAATCAGATTATTGCATATTACTGAAATACACTGAAGAAAGTGAACTTGTTCTCAGATAGGTTCAGGAAAAATGAAGTATCATGACTACAGAGGGTTTTTGTTTTATATTATCTCCAAGTCATCTTCAAAAGTTGAAGGATTAATTATACATGATTTATTTGCCTGTTTTTTTTATCATTGTTGAGATGTTATATGTTTACAAAATGTTTTTTGTTCAAATGTATTTTTTCATCTTCAGGAAATTGATCAATTTCATCATTCCATTTGTATACTTACCGGTACCGGTATGTGTTATTGTTACTAATCAATGCTTGTCAATGAAATCTTATAATTCAATCTATTCGAAACAATGTTAACTGTGAAAGGTGTTCTAAATCAGGGTCAAGACAATTATGTCAATTACCGTAGTTACATCATATTATGTTTTTGAAAACATCTCCTTTTATACCTTTTTTAGTTTTAATGACAGAGAATCATTTTTGATTACAAGTACAAAACAAATCATTGATTTTAAATTGAAACATTTGTGAGAAGTACTGATGGATTTTGAGAATTACATACCATTTGTCATATTGAGGAACTCTTAAAGTTGACATTCATTGGGTAGATTGTACATGGTTCTGAACATCTGGTGCTATATTTATTTCTATGAAGCATACAATTTTCACAGTGACAAAGATTTGTGTTATCATATACAAATGGAGTCATTTATCTGTGTTCATGAATATCTGTGGTTTGTTAAACTGTGATCATTGAAACAATGTTAAACCATGAAAAGTGTGCTTATATTTGAAAATGTGATGATAAAAATGTGTATGTGCTATATGTTTAAGACATAATCTTGTAATTTTATGAGCAAACTAAACAATGTGAACGCTTTACTACTACTTATCACCTTTCTGTCTCATTCTCATATTATCCTTGTTTGTTAGGTCATTAAGGAGGAGCTAAATATAGATGTTTTAACACCTGGTGTGCATGATCATTAGTGAGCTAATGGAGGGAGTTGTAACATCTAGTGTGTTAGATCATTAGTGAGCTAACATAAGGAGTTGTAACATCTAGTGTGTTAGATCATTAGTGAGCTAATGGAGGGAGTTGTAACATCTAGTGTGTTAGATCATTAGTGAGCTAACATAAGGAGTTGTAACATCTAGTGTGTTAGATCATCAGTGAGATAACATAAGGAGTTGAAAATGAGCTATGGTAGCTGAACACAGTAGACACAGGTGATTTTGCTCCTGATATTTGGCCATCTCCAAAGGGTTAGAAGATCAGGACTCTGACAAAAATGATATCATAGTGTGGAGAATACAATGAGGAAGATAATTGTGGAAACCTTTTTGTAAAAAAAAAATTGCTAGTAGGTGTTTTGGAAGATAAACATTTTCAAAGGACCATATCATCTACTAGTGAGTAGAGCTCATCACTGGTCAGGGATTTACCTGTAGTGGGCTATACCTGGAATGTGACTTTCCTTTGTATTAACACCTACCTGTACAGCATGAGTACAACACTATCAACTAGATCTGGTAAACAGAACAAAGAGAAACAGCAAATGAGACTTTCCATGGATCCAAGTTCAGACATGATAATGAAGGAAATTGGTGAACTTAAAACAGAAATTTTGGAGTTAAAAAGTAGCTGGAAACAGGCCAACATACAAGATGTGGTTAATAAAGCTTT